AGAAAGAAAGAAAGAAAGAAAGAAAGAAAGAAAGAAAGAAAGAAAGAGTTTGTTAAGGTCTCAATGATAAAAACAGGGGAGAAGCTTTTTGGTAGAAAAGACTTTAAGAAAAACATATTGAATTCTTAACATGATTCTGAAATACCTTTGGAAATGTAGGCAGTAATTTTCAGAAGAAAACAACTTAGTCCAGATATTTTGATTACTGCCAAGACTTTTCTACATACAAGTATACCCTTTCTTCCTCAGAAACTTTCCTTTGTCTTCTCACCACCAGAAACATATTCATATAGACATAGCGAGTTTAAGATATTTTTATTAAATTAGTCCCACGGATGGAGTTCAGACTAGCTGATACCTGTGAGCATATAATGTATTCAACCGTATTGTAGTTCATGGCTAATTTAGCAATGATTTTAAGTTCACATTTATAGCTTCATTTTGATTAAATCTTGGATATTTTCAGAATAAGTGTTTCAAACCTAAGAAATACTATTTCCTTTGAGTGTAGGTTCAAGTTTTTTTAAGCTACTTTTGACAAGGTCATATAGTGAACTTGACCTCTCATCCAATTCTGTTACTTTAGCTATGTCAAAAGAAAATGGTGACCCTTGATTCTGTATTGTCTTAAAAGCAAAAGAGTCATATATCTATAAGTAAGATAAAACTCAAAAGATTGTGTCTCATTTTACATAGGATAATAAACATAGAATAAATATTTTTAATTTTTTTCAGAAAAGAACTTCTATAAGTTTGACAAAATGTAGCCTTTGAAAATGCTGTTTTAATTCTCCTTAGCTGACAGTCACAGTTTAATAGAGTTAGTGAAACTAACTAACTAAATGTGCCTTTCCATTCATGGGCATAGACAAGCACGTCTTGTTTCTTTTGTTTTGAAGCTTATTGCCTTTCTCATGCTGTTTACACTGTGAACTGCGTCCAGCGTGCCTAACATTCCCATCCCCTGGGTACTCTGACTCCAAGGATTCTCAGCCAGAGGCAGCTCCACCCTACAGTGTTTTGAAAAGCACAAGGGTTTCCTTTGGTTATTACAAAGACTGTGATGATTATGCACATTAAAAAAGTTCAAGGGCTAAAGATAATTCAGTCTGTACTGCAGGATTATTTTGCCCCATATGTTAATAGCATATCCTTGCTAAGAAATACTGACAGGCTTAAAACCTACGGATTCCTGAATACCACTAGGTACCACCTACTTCGGAAATTCTACTCTGATTCACCTAATTTGCTTGTTGACTCCTTATATCTGTTTCCGTAGTAAGACTACACAGGCCTCATCCGATCACAAAGCAATACAATTAACAGCTTTCTATGCCCATCAGGAAAAAAAATACAAAATACCTTGCACTGCAAACGAACAAACTGTTAAAGGATTTATTAAACACACCTACCAGAGTGAGCAACCCCACATGCCTTTTTCACAGGATCTGCAAAGACTATAGGAATGCAATCAGCACCAAGAGCTGTGATTGTGACTCCTCTCTGGTTTGTGACTATCCCGTCATAGGATTCGGGCTCCTTCTTCCCCATGACCCACACTTCATTGGCGTGATCGGTCTAGCACAGAACACAGGGCAAAAACGTTTTGAAAACAAAACTTCTTAGATGTGGGCTTTTCTAAAAGTACTGATGCGGGTACCACATTAGGTAATCATGCTATGATTATTCACTTCTATACGTAATAAAATACCAACTATAACATCTCTGCAGATGTTGCTCTTAGGAAAGCTGACTCGGAAGTCAGGCACATCCCCCCCCCCCCCACTAGAGATGAGTAAATCTTTATTTTGAGTACTTCTCACAAAAGGCAAGTTTCACTTTCTTTCCAGAAAGTGAAAGTACCAAATCAGTGATTTTCCCCCCCTTTTCTTAGAATCAAGTAAATCTAGAATTCTTGAACAGATATTTCTTCCTCACTTAGACCCTAGTTCTGCTGGGTCTTCACGTAAAAAGCAATGGCCCAAACCTTTTCCTAATTATTCGGAGACTTCCTTCTGTATTGATAGACCCAAACCTTTTGCTGATTATTCGGAGACTTCCTTCTGTATCGATAGGGCAGCAGTGATTGGATACTCACTCAAAAGCAACATTACATCTAGAACTAAGGCATTCTAGATGAGATACATACATACACACATGCACAAGAGCACAAACACATATGAATATTTGATCTTTAGGCTATAACTTATAAAGCAGAGAAAAATAATTACAGCATTATCTTCACCTGTTCGATGAAGTACCAGAAGCAAAAATTACACAGTTTAACGGCTATATAGTTATTGACAGTGAGAATGCCAATATTTTGGAAAACCAAAATATATCACAAAAATTTACCTTTATTCGATAAAATTTCTCTGTATTAAATCCTGCAGCATTTGCCAACCTGCGAAGATTTTCTTGAACAACTACTTTGGGATCTCTCCGTCTGCAGCTACTGAAAAGATTGAGTGAGCTAAGAGTTGGGATGTAGGATATGCCACCTGTTCTTGTAGTAAATCCATGGATGAAAGTATCTGTTGACGATAAGTGGTAAAGAATAAGAAGGTGTCCTACAGAGGCAAGGAGACACACAAAAGACAGTGTCTCTGCCAGACCCTCCCAGATCACTCCAGCCTGCAATTATTTATGTGGTTTCTAATTCTGGCAGCACTTTGCACCCCCATGCAGTGGTATACAGCTGTCACCCTGTGTGACTGCTCACGAGAAAAACTATTTTTCCAAGGAAGATTGATTTTTGTTTTTGAAATTTCACCCTCTGCCCAAATGCCCAAAGAATTGAGGAGTTGAGGTATTAGCATTTCTACATACAAGATCTTCCAGTAAAAAAAAAAAAAAAAAGACAACAACAACAACAACAAAAAACCAACTTGCTTTGTTTTGCTTTTTCTTTTTTAAGGAGGATTGGAAGATTGGCCTTAAATATGAATTGACATTAATCAATTTGCCTGTTTGAGGTGGCTCTGATGAAGTCATCTCTTGATGCCTCTGACCCACAAGGTCGTAAAACCCCCATGTTGCAAAAGATGTGCAGTTCACAAGAGTCAACAGAAAAAGGAAAAAAGGAAGTGAGACACTTTGGAAGAAAGTCTGGGTTTTCACAAGTGACAAAGAGAGTTTAGGATACCTGGGATCAAAGGAGACGTGATAATAGTTAAGTCCCCTTTCAGGGTCGGCAGGCTTCTCAAGTACGATTCTATTTCACTTTGGATTTCCTCTAGTTGATGAGTTGTGGGTACGTTTATTTCAGTGGAGGGTTTCAACAGGCTCTCTCCCCAAGCTCCCTGTAAATCTTCAAACTCAAACTCATAGACCTCGGTGAAGAGCTGATTGATAAAAGCCTTCAAGAACGTTCTCCTGTGCTCGGGTACAATCACCTTAATGTGGCTCAGATTTTTTTCATCAACTTTTTGTTTAATTGTATACAAAGAGGCCGCCACACTGGAATTGCTAACAGTCTCAAAATCTCTCGTGAGAAGTGGAAATCCATTTCCTGCTTCCACGTCAGAAAGATCGTTTTCACCATCCCTTTCTTTGGTGCTGTTACTGCCACACATTATGCAAAAGAACTTGGCCTTGGGGGCATGGTGGTGATGGATACCATTCAATGTCTTCAGTAATGTCTGATGGCAGATTTTCTGTGAGTTCAATTTTAAACCGAAGAGATCAATCACGACGGCTTCTGCCATCCTTCAACCATGCACTTTCCTTCAAAGAAGACTTCTGCGCCAAATAAGCTGTAAAGAGAAATGGTCACAGGCAGCAACCAACTGTGCCAGTCTTCTTAAGGACACAACATCAATCTGTGGGGGGACAGAAGGGAAGTAACCCAATAAACCCAGAGCCCAGGTCGGAAAAGAGAGCAAGTCCTGCTTTTAAATTATAGGATGCCAATCTATCTGCTACTATACCATTATTCCTGTCATGTTTATCAGATTAGATCATATTTCATGTGAAATAATAAGGCCTCATAGCACGTTAAGTTGAGCAGCATCAGCAAATTTCTCTCTCTCTCTCTCTCTCTCTCTCTCTCTCTCTCTCTCTCTCTCTATCTCCCTCCCTCCCTCCCTCCCTCCCACACCCCTCGTTTTGTTTTGTGGTTTTTCAAGACAGTGTTTCTCAGTGTACCTCTGTCTGTCCTGGAACTCTCTCTGTAGACCAGGCTGGCCTCGAACTCACAGAGATCCACCTGCTTCTGCCTCCCAAAGTGCTGGGATTAAAGGTGTGCGCCCCCAGCACAAATCTCATTTTTTAAGATAGAAGCTGAGCGATAGAATAGGCTTTCCCCAACATTTACACAGCACTCCACACTTGGGATGATCGCGAAAGCCACTGCAATTTTGGATCAGGGGCCATTCCTGCCCACTTGCTGATTCTTTGTCCCGTTGTCTTTCCAGTCCTCCCAAGTCCCATTGGAGCGTCCCTCTGGGGACCCCTTACCCCTGAATTCCTGGCAATCCCTACCACTGCTGATCCCTCACCCCCGAGACCCCCAGGCTCACCCTGACCCCGGCGCCCCAGAGCACAGCCGCTGTCATTCATTCTTTCCGCCAGCTGTGCAGGGCGACCACAGCGTCTGTCCCGTTCCCGCGCCGGTATGCCCTGCGTCCGGAACCGGCTGGCACACTCACCGCGGTGTCCCTTCCCGCTCTCCCCCTCGGCGGCCGCGGGCTGGAGCGTGAGCCTCAGCCTGGGCGAACTGACCTGGGAGTCTCCGGAGTTGCCCGAGCCGCCCGCCCTCCGTCCCGCCCCACCGCGTCCGTCCGGGCCTCCAGGCAGCCTCGGCGGCCGTGCTCACC